GAGCCTGGTGGAACCACTGAGACTATGGCCCCTAGCTGCCCTTCAGATCTGGAATTGAACCCACACCTGTGGTTTCCAGCCAAACAGAAGACAGACATATGAGTTGAACATTTACTTCAAGTAGATACACTCCTTAGAGAGAACAATCATGGGAGAAAGAAGAGCTGCTTACGCACAGAGAGACAGCTCAAGCGGCAGGAGTGCATGGAAGGATGGACACTGGGAAGAGGTAACTATGGGGAGGAAGTAAGAGGGGAGCTCTGTTGCATTGTGGTAAACTGGTCAATGTCATGAGACAAAGTATATGTGAACTGCTGTATGGAAAGTGAATTTGCTCTGTAAACCTTCACCCAAATCATTCATTCATTCATTCATTCATCCATTCATTCATAAATGCATAAATAAATAAATAAGAAATACTAAATAAATAAATAATAAATAGATAAATAAATAAATAAATAAATAATAAAAAGAAGGGACTACAACCTTGTCCCTTGTCAGCTCTTCTGTTCTACACTTGTAGAAACATTGTCTGTCAACTCTATACATGGCCTTGGGCACACTCCCCACTACATAGACATACCTAATAGTTCAACCTGTCCATCCATGTATCCACCCGTATATCCATGTTTGCCTTCACTGACAACGCAGTACTGTATGTGCAAAAGGGTTCATCTTTGTTGTCTGTACCTCCCAGGTACCTCTCTGTGCCTTCTTCTTCCTTAATGCCATCGTGTTGATCACTCACATTTGGTACATTGCTCTAAGGTTATAAATCTTTAGAGAAGTAGATTGCCTTATCTTCCTCTCCCAGGGAAGCTGGTGGGCTCGAACCACCAGCCTTTTGGTTAGCAGCCAAATGCCTTATATGCTACCAGAGCTCCTAGCACCTATCTAGGTAGGGAAAATGTTTAAAGTGTGGAGTGGACAGACATTTGAAGTATAGATCTGTAGGAAATACATTAAATTCAGTTTCTGAGGTTTTGTTTTTTTTGAAACAACTTTACAGATTTCTAAGAGGGAGAAATTTTTAGATAAATATAAACAAAAGTGAAAAGATAGGGTCAAAAGTATGGACTAGGATATCTGCAGTTGGGTGATGACTAAAGTAATGGCTGGCAAGATGAAATGAGGAAAGAACATGTACTTGGGGTCTGTAGACATACTTGACTAGATATCAACCATCTACTGTATATTTAATCTTGTGCAACTTATATGCTTGATCTCTGAACCTTAGGTTTTTGTTTTGTTTTTTCCCCTATAAAATGGGTATGCTGAAAGTACGTACTTTTTTTGGGAGACTCTGCTTTTAAGAATTGATTTGGGAGGGGGATAAGGAAATACTTTGTAAACTGTCAAGTGCAAAAATAAGTACTGTCCATTTATTCCAGAAGTAAGAGTTCCAAGATGCCCAGGAATAATCCTTCAGGGATGCTCAGGAAAAGTGGGCATAGTAGTGAAAGAAAAAGAAATGAAATTCTTGTTGTTAGTTGCTATTTTAGTTGATTTTGACTCATGACGATCCTATAGTTTTAGAGTAGAATTGGTCCAAAGAGTTTTCAAGACTGTGACCTTTCAGACACAGATTGCCAGGCCTGATTTCTGAGGAGCCTCTGAGTAGGTTTGGACCACAAATCTTTCAGCTGGTAGTTGAGCACTTAACTGTTTGTGGGTAGTAAATGAATAGCTTTGAGATGAAGACAGTGTCTATTAATGGTAATCCAAACCAAAAACCAAATTCAATGCCGTTGAGTCGATTCACCTCATAGCGACCCCTCCTTGGGTTTCCAAGGCAGTATCTCTATGGAAATAGATTGCCCAGTCTTCCCCTTCCGAAGAGTGGCTGGTGGGTTTGAACCACCAGCCTCTGGTTAGCAGTCAAATGCCTTAGGCACTATGCCACCAGAGCTCCCTACTGGTAATGAAGAAGCTTAATTCTAGAAAGCAGGTAAGATACAGGGAAGTAATTGAAAAGAGCTTTAAGTTCAGTTGAGGTGGGATTTTTGTAGTAGTAGTTTATTATTAGGGAACATTTTTTTTTTTCTTGATATAAAAGTCTTTATTCCTTTTTTTATTTTTAAACTTTATTGAGATATAATTGACATACAATAGACTGTACAGACTGTTTCCAAATAAGGTCACATTCACAGGTACCAAGGACTTGGACATATCTTTTTGGGGAACACAATTCAACTAACTACATTTTTATTATTAGAGAATACTAATAATAAACAACTAGCCTTTATATTGGGAGCTCTGGTGGTGCAGTGCCTAAGGCATTTGACTACTCACTAGAAGGCTGGCAGTTCAAACCCACCAGCCACTCTGCTGAAGGAAGATTGGGCAATCTACTTCCATAGTGATACCACCTCAGAAAACCAAGGAGGGGTCGCTATGAGTCGGATCCAACTCGATGGCAGTGAGTGTGGTATTTTTGGTTTCTGAGTCTTTATAGTGTGTATTGTGTGCCAGGAGTTATGTGGCACTAATTCATTTAATTCTCCAAACCATCTTATGAGATAGGCATTAGTATTAATGCCACTTTTTGCTGCCTTTTGTTACATTAAACAGTTAGGTCTTGACATTCTTTCTGGCCCAGTTCTGTTTGCATTCAAAGCCTACTTCCTTAAGAAATCATAGACAAATACATGACAGCAGGATCAGTTTATCATGATTTGGGGTTTTACCAGTTCTAAATTCAGTCACTTAGATATATTAGATGAAGGAAAAGACTTTGAGGTTGATTATGAGAGGGAGAAAGGTAATCCTTTTCATTTTTGTATTTCTTATCCTTGGAGAAAATATGAGAGTTCACATGAACTATGAATTTTCTGTGTATTTTAATACTATGTACGTATGTAATAGTACTCTGAAGGTTTATTGGACATATCTAGATGGGGAGAATGTTAAAATGTAGTTCGCTTGAGGCCATTTATCTTAATTTATCCACTTGAAACTTTTCTTTTGGAAATCTATTTTCACTTTAGCAAAAAATTCCAAGTGGAATGTTGGGCTGTAACCTGCAGAGGGAAGGGGAAAATGCCAGAAAGGAGCCAAGAAAGAGAAGTGAAAAGAGTGAAGAGAGCTAGAGGAGGTCTCATTTCAGTGTTATCTGTGTATTGCTGTTAGGACAAGGAATATGCATTTGAAGGAATGTTTGGACTAGTCCAGCTATACGGCTACCACATGAAAAACTCAGGCCATGAAAGAACACAGAGTACAATTTCCTTAGATGTTTCTTATGTTCATATGCCTATCAGACACTGAATTCTCTGCTTTTAGCAAGACTTTTAAGCAGAGAGAAATGTTGAACTCATTTTTGTACTTTCAGATTGTACCTTATATCTTCAGATGAGATTATATTTATAAACCGAGTGAATTATTATATTTATAAACAGAATTAATTATTCTTTGTGCTTATAAAATACAGACCTGCAATATGATAGCTAATTACATTGTTGGAAATACCATGGGGTCAAGTTATAGTCCTTGAAAATCATGACTTAGTTGTCCTGTAGCACTGTAACTTGTTAGTTCAGAAGACCAAAATGAGCAAATAGTTATTATTACCATCATTTCTTTTCTATAGACAGAGCAATTAAAGTTCTTATAATTTGAGAAAGAATGTAAATTGGCATAGTGACTGCAAAGCATTATCATCCCTGCAACCCATCCTGCAAGCCTCATGTGGTATCTCCTCCTTGCTGTTTACTAGTCATGCTGACCTTTTAATGTCTTGACATGATTTAACACCTTTCCACTGTAGCACCCTGGTACATACTCTTTCTTTGCCTGGAAGGCCTTCTAGTCTTTTTTCATCTGGCTTACCCTTTAAGGTTTCAGCATAGATGTTACTTCTTCAGGCAAGCCATTCCTAACTCCTTGGATTGTCTTCCCCTTTGCTATGTCTTTAACTTTTCTATCACAGAACTGTCAATTTTATAATGAATTAATTTTGGGGGTAGGAGATGGGTCTGTTTTATTCACCATTGTATTCCCTACAAAGAAGTGGTAGCTCAATAAGCATGTATTGAATTATTGAGTAAAATAATAATAATTGGGTCACTTTTTTCCTGTATTTAGTGTATTTACCTTTTTTTTTTCACAGAAGTGAAATGTTATTATTATTTTTTTTCCTCTCAAGAGTTTGGCTGCATTGGAAGCATTATGTACTCACCTCTACGTAGGAACTGATCTTACACAAAGAATAGAGGCTGAGAAAGCACTCCTGGAACTAATTGACAGCCCAGAATGTCTCAGCAAGTGTCAACTTTTATTAGAACAAGGAACAGTAAGTATTTGATAACAGTGATGAACTATGAAGGACAGATATATGTCAGTGTTAATGCAGTGGTGTGTGTTAGCATTGACAGTTGATAGATATTGCCACATGTCTTTTTACTATAGTTTATTTCACTGTCAAAGAGATTAATCAGGGAAAGAATTGAAAAGCCTGGAAAACAAACTAAGGAAAGAGCCCAGGTGGTAGAAATAGGAAAATTGAAATAGTTTCTTGGTTCTAGCTCATTCCATTTTCTATTTTGTATCAGTGGGCAAGCATTACATTTTTAGAAAGTTGACTAACCGCTGTTTGTTTTTTTTAATGTAGGTCGGGGAGGCAGGTTGCAATTAACTCTGAAACATGAAAGAATGATTCACAGGAATACTGACTACCTTTTGGTCTGCCTCCCTATCTGAGATTCATAGCCATTCCTTCAGCAGTCATCTAGCAAATCCTTAAATGTAAAACCAGGCAGTGAACTGCCTACATGGTTTATGCACATGCCTTAAAGTAGCTCATGGTTTAGATGGGTAAAAAAAGAGCTATGAAATAGTACAGTTAGCACTACAAAAAGAGACTGCCTGATCTAGAGCAGAGGTTGCAAACTTATCTGTAAAAGGCCAGATAGTAGATATTTTAGGCTTTGTGGAACAAGAGGCAAAATTTAGGATATTTTATGTATACACTTTTTAACAAGAGAGAAGACAAATTTCCACAGTTTTATTGCTTAAATTCAAAATATAATAATAGCTAAGTACTTTTTTTGGGGGTAATGCAGCTCTACTAGTGAGAAAAATGAAATTATTTATTTAGGGGTTAATATTTTGCTTAATTGGAGTTCAGAGTTAGCATTCCCTATCATCAACATTGATTCCAAATGTTTGTATGGTAATGCTCGTCTGTAATGAGATTTTACTGATTTCATCTTTAAAAATATCTTTTCTCACAGACAGGTATGGCCAAATACTTACATCAGTCCATGAGCAAATGTTTTTTTTATTTTTATAGTTTATTTTATGTTTTTGTTGTTCAGAATATATACAGTAGAACATAACACCAGTTCAATAATTTTCACATGTACAGTTTGTGAACATTGATTATATTCTTTAAGTTGTGCAGCGATTCTCACCTCCCCTCTTTTCTGAATTGTTCCTCACCATTAACAAACTCACTGCTCCCTAAGTTTCATGTCTAATCTCTGGAATTGCTGTTGTCAATTTGATCCCTTACAGATGGATCTTAAAAGAGCATAGTATTCAAGGCAGACATTCTTTACCAGTTAAGCTGAATTACTAATTGATTTTAAGAAGAGTTCAGAGGATACTTTTGGTTTAAGATTTCAGTATTATCTCAGGGCAATAGTTTCAGGGGTTCATCCAGGCTCCATGGCTCCAGAAATCTGGATTCCATGAGAATTTGAAATTCTGCTCTCCGTTTTTCCCCTTTTGACCAGGATTCTTCTATAAATTCTTTCATCAAAATGTTCAGTAATGGTAGCCAGGGGCTATTCAGTTCTTCTGGTCTTATGGCAAAAGGAGCAGTTGTTTATGGAGGCAATTAGTCATACATTCCATTGTCTCCCATAAGCATATAATTTTAATTGACAGTATTCATCACTTAGAAGGCATTTGTATAATTCTTTTATATCTTTTCTTGATATTTGCCTTTTAGTATTCATCACATTGCAGATAAATCACTTCCAACTGAAGATTATGTGGAAGCTCAATGGTGCAGTTAAATGGATTTTGAAATATGGAAAATTACTTTGTACTTGCATCAAGATCTGAGAAATACTGCAAGAGCTATAGTTTGAACTCAGAATGTATAGCTGCTGTTGTAAATTTGTGTGGGAATGGAGATCTTGCTACTTATTTTAACTTTTGACAGCATGGGAAGTGTATAAAGGAATTTGACATTACATGTGATTCAAACAGTTGTCATTGAAATAACTTTATGCAGTGTAATCACTAAGCATCTTTGTCTTTTAGGAAATTTTATAGTTTTATGTTGAATTCATTAAGAAATGCTATCAAGTGTTCAACAGACGCTAATTTGCAAAGCTATTTACTGTTCTGCAGCAGCGTTTGAGGGTAGTTATTTCTTTTCAGAAAAATTTCAGTCCTGAACTCAAAAAATTACAATAAAGCATTACTACTGCTAAGCTATTGAATGTTATGTGGTAGAAAATTCAGGATGTTCAACTTCTATTTCAGACAGAAATTCACAGAACTGAAGATAAGTCTTTGAAAGCAAAAGCAGTTTTTAAATACTGTTAGTTCATTGACACATGACGAAGTTAAGTATTTTCTGCGGAGTATCTGCTGATGAATGATCAAATGAATACCATAGACTTTGAACATCTTACATTTTCATAATCTTTGTAAATTTGTCCAACTAAGCCTTCTTTTGCTCTACATATTTTTACCACAATTAGTTATAATATATCTTAGAAGATGCTACTTCAGATTGTACTGAATTGGTATTTTTCTTAACTTCCTTGAAAACATTCTAGCCTGTAGTTCCACAGATACTATTCATAGAGGCTTAATTCTTCAGTCAGGACCTCGGGTAGTGTAGTGCTTAAGGCACTTGACTACTAACCAGAAGGCTGGCAGTTCAAACCCACCAGCCACTCCTTGGAAGGAAGGTTGGGCAATCTACTTCCGTAGTGATACTGCCTTGGAAACCCACGGAGGGGTCGCTATGAGTTGAGGGCCTACTGGACGGCACACAACAACAACAACAATTCATTCATTTCAAACTCAGCATTGACTTCTGGAATAAACAGTATGTCTCACTGACAGAAATGGTATTAGTAACATCTGTCCACTCATCAAGAACCAAGGACAGAACCTCTCCAAATCATATGTGTTGTTTTTAAAATGACTTTTGATGATGTTTCAATGTCCTCAAGTCTTCAACCTTTTGTTCTCACTGAAGGACTAGTACTCGTGAACAAGCTCTACATACATAACTTCTGATGCTGCAATAAAATGATAGTGATTTAATTAATTCACCATTGGTAAATGGCTTTTATTGAGTGGCTTACAATGAAGTAACATTAATTTCCACTTGGAAACTTAACATTGGTAGCATCCTCATTTTTATATTTTTTGAAGAGATTCTCCTATGATGAGATATTTTGTTTTAAATTTTCTACTTTTTCTGACTTGCTTTCCTGTAAGTTGGGAATATTATTAAGTACTTAGTCTGAGATTGTCAACCTATATTTTGTTCTTTAGGACAGCTATAGTATCATTGCATAAAAAGCACATGCTTTGCCATGTAATTCAATAACAAAATAAGTCATACTCCACTGTGCCTTTTTAAAAGTTAGACATTTGAAGTCCACTTTTTATCTCCTCTTGTTTTGACATGATAGATAAGCATTGATACTAATAAAAAGTGCATGCCAAGAAGTACGCCATAGTTTGCCTACCTCTTGTCTAAAGAAAAAAGAGATTTTCTTTTCAAGAAATTTCTAGGAGCAAAGTGAATAGCTAAACTCAGTTTTCAAGAATGGAGCATGTATTTAGAGAGTATTGTTATTATCAAGTATTATTAAGTCATTATTAAGACAATTAAGGATCCCTAGGAGCTCTGGTAGCATAGTGGCTAAGACACTTGCCTGCTAACCAGACGGCTGGCGGTTCAAACCCACCAGCCACTCCTCGGAAGGAAGG